TTTCTGTTTCTCGCTCATTTCCCTTTTTTCTATTTGTCGTTTGTGCAAAACAAACGAAAACAAAACAGTGTTTGGAATGATCGATGACCTCAGACAGGCTCAACTAACTCGACTCGACTATTTTGACTAACCTGGGTCAAATAAATTCGGATTCGGTCATTGATCGCATTCTAATAGAATTAGTTAGGTTAAATTCGATTTTGGTTATGGGTCGTCGATGTTTTTCGTGTTTTTCCATGTTTTTTTTATTGAGAATTTCCATTTTGTTTTTTCTAAAAAAAATGTTTCTTTTTTCCAGGTTTACGATGATGATGTTAATCTTTTAGATGATGATGATGATGATGATGTTATTGGTGATGATGGTCATCATCCAGAATCAATGGCAATAATGGAATCGATTGATCAATCAAATCCGGATATCATTGCTCAACCAGAACAACAACAGACATCGACGACAACAACAACAAAAATACCAAAATGTTTAAATAATTTACGTTTAGATTCGGCTGTACAACAAATTAATCGTTTACAAAATGAATTACAAAAACTTCAAACCGATGGTGAACATTGGAGAAAATTAGCTAAACAGGTAAATTTGAAAAAAAAAACAAAAATGATTGAAGAGATATCCAGGGTTAATAATGGTTGTTAGGTTAAAATAACCGAACAAATGATATGAAAATAACCTGTTGAATGTTTTTTCAGGTAACCAATATCATCATTTTTTCAATCAGCTATTTCTACCCAAATAAGGCTAGTGAGTGAGAGAATATACATCCAATAGCAACCAAATTTCCTAGAAACTTTTCTAGAAACAAAAAACAAAAGAAAAAAAATTTTTCCGGAAATAGAATTTCAACTCTGATACTTTTTTTTGTATCAAATGAGCGGTTTGTTTGTGTCACATTGTTTCCATTGCAAAAAACAAAAACAAAATTTGCTCTGGTTGATTAGATTCTTGATTGACAACGTAGGATTTTTTTGTTTTGTTTTTGGATGTTTCAAAAACAACAAAAACATTAATAATAAATTCATTTCACATGTGAAAAACGAGCCAGCAAGAGAGGTGAGAGAGAGAGAGAGAAATTTATCAATGTTTTTCCCAAAAAATTTATGACAGAATGACAGAAATGTCAATGTTGCTTCGGCTGAACAAAAAAACTTTTGGTTTTTTCCAAAACCGAACCTGTCCTGTCCTGTCCTGGGTTTTTCTTTTGTTTGTTGACCGAAAAAAATGATGATGATGCTTATCATTCTATTTTCATCCAAGTGACTAATTGCAAAAAAAATATAGAAAGAAAGAAAAAAAAATAAAGGTAGAAATAGCCATTGCTACACCTTTATTTTATTTCAATATTTTTGGTTTTTTTTTTTGAAGCCAGAAAAATATTTTTGTTGTGGTTGTGATGATGGCTGCTATGGATATTATTATTTTTTTTATGTATCCTGGTCTCTCTGTGTTTGTGTGTGTGTGTGATGTATGGATTTCTTTTGATGATGATGATGATGATTGTTGTTGAGATAATCTACCACACACACACAAACACAATCTGTCGCAATAGTTTTTGATGGTGGTTACCTCGGTGAATTTGGGTTTGGTTTTTTTTTAGTGTTTTTTTATAATCATCGTTGATTATGTTGATTATTTCTCTCTCTCTCTCTCTCTCTCTCTCTCTTGATTACCATCCAGATGTTGTTGTTTCAAAATTTTTGTTGCAGCCAAACAACCAGAAAATATTTTGATTTCTGGATTTCATTGGTTACCAGTTTGTTGATTATCTTGCTTTCTAGCCAAAAAAAGAAAGAAAAAACTGTTGAATGATTCATTCATTCAGTTGATTTTTGGCTGTTTCAAAATTCTAGGATTTTTTTTGTTGATAAATATCGATAGTATCGGTATTTTTTTTTTAATTGCCCGCATTTGTTGTTTTATCGCGTGTTTTGTTTTGTTTGACAATCGATTATTATCTTCATCATCATTTCGGGGTTTCGGGTTTTTTTTGTTTTGAACGAACGAACCAGGCCAAACCGGTGAGAGAGAGAGAGAGAGAGAGAGAAAAAAAAAAGTGGGATGTAACTTTAGAATGAAAGAAACCAATGAATGAGA